TAGTCAGGTGGGATAAAGACCCTCAGAATTCAGCTTCTTTATCCAGGGGAACTAGGGTGAGGTGCCTGGAAGGGAGTTGGGGTGGGTGGGATGGGCCAAGTGCAAAGGGCTATCCTTGTGCCCGTAACAAGCCTAGGGAAGGCAGGGGACATGCGTGATGTCACCAAAGGTCTTCTTTTCTGGATACAGGATTTGGTGAGGATTCCCAGGGGTGAGTCCTCTATAGCTCACATTGAGGTGACACGATGCCACCAGGTGGCGATCGAGAATAGTGAATTCAGCCCCCAGAGCTCCTGCCCATAAAAGAACCAACCACTTGTGATCCTAGGTGCCTGTGAGAATGGCATAAGCACTTGGTGGCACACCCATGCCTGCCTCTCACTGTCCCTGCTGTGACTATAGATGGGAAGAGTCAAGGAGGGCTCCCTCAAGGAGGTGGCCCTGCACTGCAGACTTACAGATGACAGGGGGTCTCTACAATGCTCTGCATGTTTCGTGGTACCTGGAAATCTCTTTCATCTCCTATGACAATGCAGATTTCTGGTCTATCAGGTCAGGGTAGGGGTGGGTTGACACCTTGCAGCATCAAGGTTATGTCAGTGCTGGGTCCAGATGTTAAGCAGCAGGGCCATTAGATGCTTATGGGGTTAGAGGGGGTGAACATGAATGGGGCTGGGCACTTCTGGCAGAATGCTTGGTACAGGTGCAGACACAAAGACACAAACATCTTGATGGGGATGGGGATGCACAGGGTAAGGTGTGCAGTTAGGGTTCTGGACACAAGGGTCAGATGAGGTCGGCAGGACTTTGAGGCAAAGTCTACAATAGCTCTGCAGCTCACTGATGCTGATTTTTACTCCCAAAGCCCCAGATCTTTTTGGTGCCTCAGGCTAAAATCCTGAGGGCCCTCTGACATGTGCTTGCTCCTCAACCTCCATCTAATCCAAGGAATGTCCACAGATCCCCCCACACCCCAAACTCCTTCTGACTTTCCTCTTCACCTTCTTGATGTAAAATCCCATGAGCATCCAAAGAACCCAGTTTTTCATGGAAATGTCTGTCTCTTCCTGAGAACCACACATATCCACCTGTCACATCATCTCGCACTTCAGCATGATCTGACCCTTTAGCCAAAGACCTGGTGCATTAGGTATGGAGCCCAGTCTTGTCTGAGAGTGGTGCACAAGCAGCAGCCCTGTGAGATGACATTGAGTCAAAAATGCTGAGTCTGCAGTGCTGGCATCCCATATGGCCGCAATGACCAGAGCTGGGCCAATCATAAGCCAGGAGCCAAGAGCTTCTTCCAGGTTTCCCATGTGGGTACGGGGGCCCAAGGACTTGGGCCATCTTCCACTGCTTTCCCAGGCCACACCAGAGAGTTAAATCGGAAGTGGAACAGCTGGGTCTTGAACTGGCACCAATATGGAATGCTGGCACTTCAGGCAGTGGATTTACCTGCTATGCCACAGTGTCATCCCCTCTTTTTATTTTTTAAATATTTATTTATTTGGGGCTGGTGCTGTGCTGAAGCAGGTAAAGCCGCCGCAGATAAAGCTCCTGGTTCCTGGCTTCAGATCAGCCCAGGACTGGCCATTGTGGCCATTTGGGGAATGAACCAGCAGATGGAAGACCTCTCTCTGCCTCTGCCTCTCAAATATTTATCTATTTATTTATTTGAGAGGCAGAGTTACAGGCAGAGAGGGAGAGACAGATCTTCCACCCACTGGTTCACTCCCCAGATGGCTGCAATGGCCACTGCTGCACCAGGCTGAAGCCAGAAGCCAGGAGCTTCATCTGGATCTCCCACGTGGGTGGCAGGGACCCAAGTACTTGGGCCATCCTCCCCTGCTTTTCCTGGGCCATTAGCAGGGAGCTGGATCAGAAGTGGAGCAGGGATGCTGGTCTTGCAGGCGATGGTTTTATTCCCTACACCACAAGGCAGGCCCCTACACACTGTTTTTCAGAGCAAAGAGAATGCTTCCTAAATCCTTGTATGATGTTAGTCTCAAACTGATTCCCAAACCAGAAAAAGACAGTACAAGAAGCAAAACTACAAATTATCATGCCTTATAAATATGGATACAAAAACCCTTCACATCCTTAGTAGGACTAAGCTGAATTCAACAGTACATATAAAAAGAATTCTACACCATGAGCAAGTGGAATTATTCTCTTGATATAAGACTTGTTTAACTATCTCAAAATCAAGTAATCTACCACATCTATAGGCTAAGGAAGACAAGCACATGATCCAATAATTTTATGCAGAAGAATTATTTGAGAAAAATCAACACCCATTTGGGAAAACACCCATAGAAAAGTGAGAACAGAGTGTGGCGTCCTCACCTTGATGAAGATCACGTGGAAAACAAACCCGAAGCTGACACACTTAACTGTGAACAGAAAGAGCGTGTCCCTCAGAAGAGGAAAAAGCAAGAGTATGTGTTCCCATGCTCTAATTCTACACAGCGTGGCATTTCTAGCCAATTCAATCATAGTAGAAGAGGAAGTAAAAGGCACATGACTTGGGAAGGAAGAAATAAAATTGTTATTTGCGGATATCAGGACTGCCTGTGTGGAAAGTGCCAAGGTATTTTTATATTTAAAAAATCACTTCCTACAAGTGGGAGTGTGTTTACCAGGATTTCAGAATCAAAGATGAAAATAGAAACACAAAATCAATTGCATACCTGTATGCTAGTGCTGAACACATGAACCTAAAAATTAAAATTCCAGTACCATTTACAATGGTTCACAAGGGAAATACTCTGATCTAAACCTCACATAATGATCATAATATTTATATACTGATATTGCAGAGCTCTGATGAACTAAACAAAGATTTAACCAAATGAGCAGATTGACCATGGTCATGGATTTGAAGACTCAACAAAGTAAAGATGCCAATTTCCCTCAAACTGATAAACAGGTTTAATGCAATTGCTTTAAGCATCTAGCTAGATATTTTTAATTCTAATTTCTCTATGGTAATGCAAAGGATTTAGAATAGCAGTGATTTTTAAACAGAAGGATGAATTTGGAGGAAGGACTCCACCTCATTTCAATACTTACTACATAGCTACAGTAACTGACTATTAATGTCTGTGAGGGAAAGACACAGAAATCAAACTGATAGACTCACAATGAAAATAAGAACAAAGTTCAGACTAAAGTACAAAAGCATTCCAAGGATCATTTTAATACCACTTATCTCATGTTGTCTGCTTTAAGAAAACCATTTATATAACCATCAGCAAAAACTTGAACCTTGGTCCAAATGTAACACGGTGTACAAAAATTAACTCCAAAACCGATTATGGATAAATCTTCCTGTTCAGCTTTTCATCAGTATAACTAAACACCTCAAGCAGGCTAACTTCATCAAGGAAAGAGGTTTATTAGATTCACAGTCTGGAATGTCACAGCTCAAGATTGCAGGCCAGTGGATTGGCCTCTAGTGATGTCACTTTTCTCTGACAGTCCTGATGTGGCACAGAGCACAGTATGTCAAAGGGAACGCTGTGCACGTGTCTGCGTCTGTCTCACATTTCTCCTTGTAAAACCACCAGGATTCACCATGGGGGTTCCTACCATAACGACCTTCATCCATTCAAACTATTTTCCAAACACGCTACCTGTAAAGCCTGTAACTAGGTTGTCTCCAGCCTCTCAGTATCAATAGCATGAAGGTTTTGGGATGAATGCAGGAGCTAACTCCTAGTCAAACCACAGCAGTCTTTCAGACACCTTCATTTGAGACACATAGCAGAATTTAAGACTACTCCAACAATACTTCAAATTTTCCACAAAAAAATTCATAAACACAAAAACTGATGAAAAAGTTTGTTTTGACAACAAACCCTTTTGTCCTTGGAATAACCATGTTAAAAAGAAAAGCAGCCTAAATACAAGAAGGAAGTATTTTAAAGTATATTCCAGATAAAGGATCAGTATCTAGCATATATGAGGAACTAAACACCACAAAAGGAAAAAAACTAACCAGTTAGAAAAGGGGTAAATGACAAAAACAGTGCGATAGACATGGAGTAAATAAGATACTGACATCATTGGACATTAGGGAAATGAAAATTAACCCCCATGGTGAGATGATGGATCACCCTACAGCTAGAGAACAAAGCGTTGCCAAAATCAAGTGCTGGCAAATTTGCAGAGAAACTGCTTCATACCTTTGCTGGTAGTGGGAATGCAAAAGGACCCAGAGGTCCTTAAAGAAATAAGTATTCCTTCTACTGGGCAGGGAATGTACAGGGTGAGCCTGGAGCACCTTGTAGACAGAAGGGGCCCATCAAGGAGCAGGCACTTCAGCAGGGCCCAGAGGCCAACGAAAAGCCACTCCCACTGACCTCGACCGGAATAACGGCAAAACTAACTCCAATGGTCTGAATCACGCTGGAGATTGGAAAACTCAAAACTGCAGAAGGCTATTAAAAACTCAGCCTTTGTTGGATGGGAGGGAACCAAACGAGGATTGTGACAACGGTAAATGGAAGGAAGGGGACGCGGCATCCTCCCTGCTCCTTCCGCAGAAGACCCCAGGCACCAGGGCCGGGGTCTCCTTCCCGACCCCCTGCTTTGCCCTCGGCCCACTCGCAGCGCAGCACAGCGCACACACGCGCCCCCGAAACACCCACCCGGGACTCCTCCACTAAGACCTGGCGGCTCCCACGTCATCACCGGGAGGAACGCGGCCTCACCACCGGCCCAGGGACCCCGCCTCCGCCCCCACGCCCTCGCCCCAGGCCCGGCAGGGCCTCCAGGGCGGGAGGAGGGCGGCTCCTGTCTGGTCCCACCCCACCGCACTCCCCAGCAGGGGCGACTCGGAGACCCAGAGAACTAACCCAGGAGAACCCGCGACGCCCTGGGGGCACTCGGGGGCCACCACGCCCGTCCTCGCCACAGGAAAGACGCCGCCTCCTGGGACACTGCTCAGAGACCTCAGTCCCCACGCGGGAGAGGGCAGGTGCACGGCGGCAGCTCACCTGGAGCAGCAGCGGCCGGGCCGGCACCACGCGCGCTCCCGGGGCCAGCGGACTCCTGGTCCGGAGGCTGCCGCGGGCTCGCCGAGACCACGGCCCCGGGAGCCGGTGTGCAGGGCCCACGCGTTCTGGATCCGGCCCCGGCGCCTCGCCTGGGTCTGCCGGTGAGGGTGAAGCCGTCGGGAGCCTCCGGAGCCCCCTGGGCCCGGCCGGGAGCGCAGTCGGAGTTTCTGAGGTCGGTGGCGTGGAGGACAAGGGTCTGCCCACGGCAGTTCAGTGACGCGAGCATCTTGTGGGCCACGCTCCTGAAACCCGGGTCAGAAGCAACTGCAGGGAGACGCGGCCAGGTACGGCGCCACCTGGAGCCCGCCCACCCCTGTGGTTCCGTCCCAGCTCCGCCCAGCATCGCGGCCGCACCCGCTCCGAGCGGTCGCCCTGAGGCCCCGGGGACTCCCAGACCACGAGCCAGTCTCACAAGCACGGTCCTCCGCGGGGCTGACCGCCTGGGGCTGCGGGGTGCGGGACTCCTCCTAGGCAGGGGCGCGCGTGCTCTGTGCTGGGAAGGGCTCCAGGGTGCAGGGCTCCCGCAGCCCCGAGTCCGCTGGTAGCCGGGGCAGGGGCGACGGGGCCAGGCTGCGCGTCTGCGGAGCGCTCGCCCTGCCCTCGGGCCTCAGGGCCGGGAGACGGTGGGTGAGGCGTCGGGGTCCTCGGGAAGGGGAGGCAGGGAGGAACGCGGTCCTCTCTCCTCGGAGCCTGGGTTCTAGAACCCGGCTGCGTCCTCGCCCTGTCTCCTCCGTCGGACTCTCAGACACAGCAGAGACGCCGCCCTCAGCCCGGACGGGCTCACCCCAGCAGGGCGCGCTCGGATTCGCCAGGACAGGAGCCTGGGCATCGCGCAGCACAGAAGCGCTCGCTCCCCGGGGCCTTAAAAAGCCCTCAAAAATCATGGAGGAGCCCAAAGACCTCCCGATTCGGAGGGTTGTGCCTAGTGACAGTCTCCACATTAGAAATTAAAACAGAAATCCAGAGTGTATCAACTCATTTTAAGATAACCGTAACAACTAGATTATAGGGCAGCATAAATAGCCTTTTAAAAAATATAACTGCATGTTTCTGGAGAAAACAAAAACTGAGAAAAAAGGAAACTATAGAAACCTAAAAACCCTGTGGGCCGGCTGGCGCGGTAGACTGCGGGCGACGTGAGGCGGATCGCGAGGGCGCGCGGCCGCAAGTGGTGGGCGGAGCGCATACGTCAGTGATGGGCGGAGCGCAGCCGCGGGCGTAACGTGACCCCAGGTGGGCGGGGCCACCGGGGACAGGGTCACACGGGGTGGGCGGAGTCGGGGGCGGGGCGGGGCGGGCGCACCGCTGTAGGCGGGGCTCCGGCTGTTGGTTCCGTACCGGTGTCGCATAGGGTCCCGGAGGATGCGCGCCTGGCTGAGCTGGCCTGGGCTAACCCGGGCCTCTACGCCATCCACGAACCCAGGAAGGCGGGTTCCGCTGCCGCGGCGGTCGTGGTCCCTTCCGAAGCTCCGACCGCCCTTCGGGCAGAGCCCAGTGCGTTCCGGAGGCTGACGGCGGCTTCATCGTCATCCGGAGACTCAGATGAGGCTCCGGGGCTGGATCCAGAACGCGTGGGCCCTGCACACCCGCCCCCGGGGCCGTGGTCTCGGCGAGCCCGCGGCAGCCTCCGGGCCAGGAGTCCGCTGGCCCCGGGAGCGCGCGTGGTGCCGGCCCGGCCGCTGCTGCTCCAGGTGAGCTGCCGCCGTGCACCTGCCCTCTCCCGCGTGGGGACTGGGGTCTCTGAGCAGTGTCCCAGGAGGCGGCGTCTTTCCTGTGGCGAGGACGGGCGTGGTGGCCCCCGAGTGCCCCCAGGGCGTCGCGGGTTCTCCTGGGTTAGTTCTCTGGGTCTCCGAGTCGCCCCTGCTGGGGAGTGCGGTGGGGTGGGACCAGACAGGAGCCGCCCTCCTCCCGCCCTGCCTGCCCTGGAGGCCCTACCGGGCCTGGGGCGAGGGCGTGGGGGCGGAGGCGGGGTCCCTGGGCCGGTGGTGAGGCCGCGTTCCTCCCGGTGATGACGTGGGAGCCGCCAGGTCTCAGTGGAGGAGTCCCGGGTGGGTGTTTCGGGGGCGCGTGTGTGCGCTGCGAGTGGGCCGAGGGCAAAGCAGGGGGTCGGGAAGGAGACCCCGGTCCTGGTGCCTGGGGTCTTCTGCGGAAGGAGCAGGGTTGATGCCGCGTCCCCTTCCTTCCATTTACCGTTGTCACAATCCTCGTTTGGTTCCCTCCCATCCAACAAAGGCTGAGTTTTTCTTAATAGCCTTCTGCAGTTATGAGTTTTCCAATCTCCAGCGTGATTCAGACCATTGGAGTTAGTTTTGCCGTTATTCCGGCCGATGCCGGTGGGAGTGGCTTTACGTTGGCCTCTGGGCCCTGCTGAAGTGCCTGCTCCTTGATGGGCCCCTTCTGTCTACAAGGTGCTCCAGGCTCACCCTGTACACTTCCTGCCCAGACGTAGAAGAACTAAATATGTCTTCCTTTTTCAAAGATTATTTATTCACCTGAAAGGCAGAATTACACACACACACACACACACCCGGGGGGGGCGGGGGGTTTAGAGACACAGAGAGAGGTCTTCTATCCACTGGTTCACTCCCCAGGTGGCCACAAGGGCCAGAGGTGGTTGGATCAGAAGCCAAGAGCTAGGAGCTTCCTCCGGGTCTACCCTGTGGGTGCAGGGACCCAAGCACTTGTGGCATCTGCTGCTTTCCCAGGCACATTTGCCGGGAGCTGGCTTGGAAGTGGAGCAGCCGGGACTAGAACTGGTTCCCCTGTGGTGTGCTGGCACTGCATGCAGAGGCTTCACCTATGCCACAGTACTGGCCCCCAAATTTCTCTAAGGACCCCAGGGTCATTTTACATTCCCAGTATCAGTAAAGTGTGAAATAGTTTCTCTGTAACTTGACAGCATTTGATGATGACAATTTTAAAAATTTTACTCATTCTTGGGGACTGTGGCATAGTAAGCTAAGCGTCTGCCTGTGGCTCTGGCATTTCATATAGGCACCGGTTTGTATCCTGGCTGCTCCTCTTCCGATCCAGCTCTCTGCTTACGGCCTGGAAAAGCAACAGAGGATAGCCCGGATGCTTGGCCCCGGCACCCATGTGTGAGACCCGGAAGAAGCTCCTGACTCCTGGCTCCAGCCCAGGCCGTTGTGGTGAATTGGGGAGTGAACTAGTAGATGGAAGACCTTTCCTTCTGTCTCTCTAACTCTCCAAGAAATAAAATCTTCTAAAAAATCTTATTCCTATGAATGGCAGCGTAGCGATACAGTATCTCCCCATGAGGTGAATTTTCATTTCCCTGATCTCTAATGGTGGCGAGTAACTTTTCTTCTATTTATTTTACAGCTGTATACGCCTATTGCTGAAATGTCGATTCATGTCATTTTCCCTTTGTCTAACTGGTTGGATTGTCTTCCTGTTGGGAAATATTTAAAATATTTTCTCCTACTCTTTATATTGTTTTTTTTTTCCTCAACATAATTATTCCCAGAACAAAAGAGGTTTCTTTCCATCTTCAAAAATTCTACTTTATTAGTTTTGCCTTTATGGATGGTGCCTTTGTTCTAAAGCCTAGAGTATTATTGGTGCAGCCTTAAATCCTGGTGTATTTCTCATATGTAAATGTCTGCAAATTACTCTTGTTTTACCATGATTTGGCCCCTGAATCATACAGGTGTTTAGTAGCCCAAACTAATGACATTGAGAGAGTAGAAAATCCAGTTACAGTGCTTTCAGGCAGTGAGCTGGGAAATGTTTTGATTGGATTAAAGTGATTATGACAGATACCGCAATATGGTTGTGGTGGCTTTACAAGGAGAAATTGGAGATGTAGACCTGTGGGAATCCTTTCTCTTGACATATGATGCTCTTTTACCTGCCAGGAATCTGTCAGCAAGAATGCTCTCACGGGAGAGGCCAAACCAGATCACAGAGCTAACAAACCTCATTCCTTTATGACATTTGTGTGTCTCAGGTTATCTTGTTATAGCAATGAAAAGCTGAATAATACAAAAAATTTACTTCTGCATTTAAATCCATGATCAATTTTGAATTAATTTTTATTTATTTATTTGAAAGGTAGAGTTACAGAGAGGGAGGAAGGGATAGAGACAGAGGGAATGAATCTGCCTTCCACTGGTTCATCCTTCCTAGATGGCCACTTCAGCTAGAGCTGAACCAGGCTGAAGCCAGGAGCCAGGAGCTTCATCAGGGTCTCCCATATGGGTGGGCAGGGGCCACAGCACTTGGGCCATCTTCTGCTGCTTTTCCTGGGCCATTAGGGAGCTGGATTGGAAGTGGAACAGCCAGGACTCGAACCAGCACCCACATGGGATGCCAGTGTCTCAGGTGGTGGGTTTACCTGCTATGCCACAATGTTGGACCCTTAATTTTTGTTTACTGTGTTACATTTAGATCAAAGTTCAATTTTTTGCTGATGGCTATACAAATGCTCTAGCACCATTTGTCAGATAGTGAACAGCTATATGATAGATGATAGAAAACTAGTCTTCCTCCATTGAATTGCTTTATTCTTTTGTCTAAACTCTGTTCATCATTTTAGTGTGGGTCTGAGTTTATCTGCTTAGTTGATCTTTGTGTCTCTCACCCCACAAACATTGACAATCAATTACTGTAACTACCTAGTGAGTCTTGAAATGAGGTACATTCATTCTTCCAAGTTCATCCTTCTATTTCAAAATTCTTGTTAGTTTTCTAGATCCTTTGCCTTTCCATGGCTATATTAGAATAATTTTGTCTATTTCTACAAAAATATCTGGCTGGGCATTTAAAGAAATTGCATTAAATCTGTGTATCAATTTGAGGAAAATTAACATCTTTACTGTGTTGTCTTCCAACCCGTGCACATAATACATCTGCTCACTCATTTAAATTTCTGTCTTCACTCAGCAGAACTCCATAGTATCATTTTAAAATTTATGAACACTTTGTTCAGCTTAGGTCAAAATATTTCCCTCTTCAAACTATTGTAAACAATGCTGTTTTTAACTTTTATGTCTCTGTGGTTATCACTATTATACAGATGTGCAGTTGGTTTTGTGTTTGTTTTTATCTTGTATCTGAGACCTTGCTGAACTCACTGATATTTGTAGGAACTGTTTTTTTTGTTTGTTTGTTTGTTTGTTTTTATAGATAGATACCTTGGGATTTTCCACATTGGCAGTCCTAGTATCTGCAACTAAAGTTTTCTTTCTTCCCAAATCATGTGCCTTTAAAAAAAAAAAGATTTATTTTGAAAGCCAGAGTTACAGAGAGAAAGGGAAAGAGAGAGAGAGAAAAAAAGATCTTTCATCTGCTGGTTTACTCCCTAGATGTCTGCAACGGCCAGGTAAGCCAGGAACCAGGAGCTTTTTCTGGGTCTCCTACTTGGGTGGCAGGGGCCCAGGTACTTAGGCCATTCTCCACTGCTTTTCCCAGGCCATTAGCAGGCAGCTGATTTGGAGGTGAAGCAGCTGGGACACGAATAAGCACCCATATGGGATGCCGCACTGCAGGTAGCAGCTATACCTGCTATCCCACAGTGCCAGCCCCAATTGTATACCTTTTGTTTGCTCTTCTGCTTTGACTGAATTGGCTAGAAATGCCAGTGCTATGTAGAATTAGAACATGAGAACGGATATTTTTGCATTATTCCTCTTCTGGGGGAAAAGTGTCCTTTCTGTCCACAGTGTGTCAGCTTTGGGTTTGTTTTGCAGATGCTCTTCATCAAGGTGAGGAAAGTCCCTCCTGTTCCCAATTTTCTATGTGTGTTTTCCCAAACAGGTATGGAATTTTTCTGTATTATTGATAGGAGCATGTGCTTTTCTTCCATAGCCTGTTAATGTGGCGGGTTACTTGATTTCCCAATAGTGAACAAGCTTGCATTGAA